TAGGGTGCTTAGAACATGGCTGACTTTCACAAATCTAAACAATCTTGGGTCTTTTTTTTCTCTTAGGTATCCTCTGAGAACACAAAGAAACCACGGGGATCTACTCTCAGATGCAATCTGGAAAGCCCCAGGGCACAGAACACAAAGAAAAATCAGCCTTTGGAGAAATCACCTGCTTCCCTGGGCAAAGGCTTTGGGATGCCAGGGTGTCCTGGGGAAAGGTAAGATGATGGAGTAGCTAAAGGAGAAAGAGGAGTACTCATGGGAGCTCTCAGGACAGGATAATACTCCTCACCATGACTTTCCGTTGTTCAAATGTGATCTGTGAATCTTCCTGCTCCTCTTTATTGGTCCTAAACAATTCTCTCCCTTTGGAGAAAAAGCAATGCAGACTACCAGGTACAGATGATCAGAAAATGTTGACTAGAGAAAATTTGAGTGACATGGATAATTGAATAGGGGGTTGTAGGGCTGGGGCAGTCTCAAGGCCAGGATAATTCCTGGAAGGATGCAGCAGATGAAACTCTGTGGGGTTGGCCAGGGATGTGGTAGTAGCTATTAACAAGACCTTATCTAGAAATGATGGGCAGATATGGGAGGTAGGAGATAGACTGAGAACATGTGACTATCTTGATTAAAAAAAAAGGGATAATTTAAGCCTTGGGATGGTAAAGTGACAGTTTAAGAAATTATAAAGTTATAAGAATCAAGAAGTTATAAGAAATCAAAGGGTATGTTGGAGACATGGTTATCATAAACATAAAGGCTCCATTCAAATGAGTTACACATAAGGGCTCGTTACCTTTATGACAGTTTGAATTATATATTTATCCATGCTTTTAAAAGGTATGCTAGAAACTCATGGGTCTATGATTTTATTTATTGGGTTAAGTGTTTGTCTAAATTCATTTTAGTGACTGGCCTTTCAGTTCTTCATGTGAATGTCTGCAGTGTTGAGGGTGGAGGCAGGGACTAGACTAAATAGAGAGCTTTGTCAGAGCTTGATAGAACAAAAAGTAGCTCAACAACTTGGAAGCAAATGTGTCTCTAATTCTCAGTGGTGGCTACACGGTGTGTTCATGCATATGTTCATCATAAAATCTTTATTAAGCTGTATAATCTCATATTTTCACATTTTACAGTGTGTGTGTTCCCTTCAATCCAAAATAAGACTGCATATAGTACTGCTTAAGTGTTTGAGAGGTTAAGTAAAACACAGAAGAAAATAAACTGGCCATAGATTTTGAATGAAGATCACTGTTAATCACCACAAGACATTATTCAGTAGTGACAGGCTGAGCGAAATAAAAATAATAGCCAGTCAGACCCTATGTCTGGCACTTGTGAAAGACTAATAGCTTAATAATTGTTGCTGAAGAAGAACAAAAGTAAATGCAGGGGAAAAATACTCCCAAGAACGTGAGAAGTATGTCCACTTAGGAGTGGCCAAAGCTGGAGAAAGGAGTACAGCAGTTTCAACCAGGAGTGTCCTCAGAGAAAGTAGGTCTATACAAGGCAACCAGGAAGGGAGCGTCCTGGATCAGGGGTTAGTGAGGAAAGTGGAAACTGGTGAGCATTGTGTCTTTAGGAGAACTACTCAACGCTGTGGTTTCTGGCATTCAGGACACATACAGCATTATTAAGGATAACCTGAACTTTTCTACCCTTAGCTGTTCTATTACAAAAAGTTGTCCTTATCTTGTGAACCAGCCTGACTGTGAAGTGCAGCTCACTGCTTTAGTCTGTCTCATTAGATAATATTTTTTTGAGTTTAGGGTCTTTGTTTTCATTTCTGCTGTTTGCTGGTTTCAACAAGGACCATGGTATGCAATCATATTCCTGAAATTTGGCCTTTTACTAAAATTCTGAGTGCTCTCCTTGAGGCTACTGTTGATGTGTTGATGTGGAATTTATTCAGTGTGTGGTTCCATATGAGCCAATTCGAAGGGGCATATTGTGTCATGCAATTAGACTTGAGACTAAGGTGATTGTTGGCTTAGTGCCTGGCTAACACAGAAAATACTTGTAGCATGAATGTTTACATATAGCCAATGATTAAGGGAAAGATCGTCTTCCTGATTATATTTTAAAAAATGGGTAAATAAAGGGAAGATCCAAAAGGAAGGAATCTGGGAACTTCTTATCCTGAAAGCCCTTTATTTGAGGGGAGTTGTAGGAAGTGATAGATGAGGCATCGTAGACCTGTGCTGGGAAAACAACGACTCTTCATATAAGATTGACTGGACACTTGTGAAATAATTCTTGGACTGTATAGGACTGCTTTTAGTTCTACACAGCTCAGAGAAGAGGCATAGTGACAGTCACATTAGAAAAGATTTCCTGTGTGTAGCCACTGAGTAAAACATCTTCAGTGATAGATCATGGAAATGTAAGCTTTAGGCAAGGCAGGCTTAAGTATTGTTTATTATCTGACTTTATTTCTGAGTCACACTTACCTATACAAGTATGTTTGGGAAAATGTAGAATTGCAAGTGTAAGCAGGAAAAAATATTTTAATTAGTTGCAGTTTACTGGGCATCTATGTAAAAAAATCAGGCTAGCCATTTTTGCATATTTCTCATTTAAAGTCAAAACATCTGTGTGACAAAAGGACTAGTATCTCCATGTCACCAATGAACTTGGACATTTTGCCTAGTATCATCAAGGCAAAATGACTAGTAAGTGAGAAGGTAGGGACTTTAGGGAGAGTATATCTAGAATCAGTGCTAAGATGCATTGCTAGCCTATTGATAATTCAGGAGCAGAATGTTTTGTGTAGGATACCTTGAAGGATGCAGGGCTTTTATAGTGTTCTAAGAAAAAAAAACTTGAGGGTTCCATAAAGAATAGCAACCCACATCTTTAAATGCTGGGTGGTACCAGCAGGCAGGGAAACACCCCTTATAAATAGTGTTCTCATTTGGGGGAGTGTCTACATGCCCACACTTCATGTGAAATCATGGAAACCAAGCACCTGATTGGGAAGACAATTAAAGGACTATCATACAGGATTAGAATTGTGACAAATTCTGACTACTTTTATGTTCATGCTTCCACGCCCAGAATATTACACATTATATGATGTAGAAACTACTAAATGAGACAGACTGAGGGCAGCTGAAGCAATACAGAAGTCAACAAGTGCTAGAGCTCAGCTCCTGGAAGTGAAGAGTGGTGGTTTCCTTTATCTCAGAAACAACCTAGGTGAAGCCGCTAACATGTTTTAAAATAAGAGTTGATGGTTGTTTTCATGGCTGTTAATATTGGGCTGTATGGAAGCTTGGGAGTCACAGTTGGAAAGTCCTGGACTAGAATCTCAAATCAGCATATCCGAGATCTTCAAAATTTGCATTGAAAGTGCATTTTCAGACAAGCTATGCATGAGTTAAGACATTTCCATTCTAATATAAACTTATATCTTGATTTCATTTCCTGTGAACTTTTTTGAAGTTTCCCTCTACTTGTTTAGTTATCTTGGATGGAATATTTAATTTATTTTAAAAGATTTATTTATTTTTATTGAAAAGGCAGATTTATAGAAAGAAGAGACAGAGATCTTCGGTCTGCTGGTTCCTTCCCCAAATGGCTGCAATGGCCAGAGCTGAGCTGACTGAAACTAGGAGCCTAGAGATTCCTCTGGTTCTCCCATGAGGGTGCAGGATCTCAAAGCTTTGGGCCATCCTCTGCTGTTTACTCAGGCCCCCAACTGGGATCTGCATGTGAAGTGGAGCAGCTGGGACACAAACTGGTGCTCATATGGGTAGGCAGAGGATTAGCCAGTTGACCCATTCCACAGGCCCTGGAACATTTAATTTCATTTAAATTATACCAACTGTGCTGTATGGATATGCGTCTTGTTGTATAAATGGAGATGTAGACTCAGATAATGTCTACCGTAGTTTTCACTAATGTACTGAGAAATGCTACATTCACTAAAATATGCTTTACTTGCTAAATAATAAAGCTTTCTTTCTATTTTTTTAAAAGATTCATTTAATTGAAAGGCAGAGATACAGAGAGAGAGGCAGGGAGAGACAGAGAGAGAAGACTTCTACTCAGCTGGTTCACTCCCCTGCAATGGCTCAGGGTTGGGCCAGAAGCAAGTCAGGAGCAAGGAGCCCAGTTGCTTCTTCTGGATATCCACGAGGGTGCCGGAGCTAAAGCACTTTGATTACCCTCTGCTGCTTCCCCAGGCACATTAGCAGGGAGCTGGAGAGAAAGAGGAACAGTTAGGACTTGCACTGGCATCTTTATAAAATGCCAACATCTCAGGAAAAGCTTCACCTGATATGAGAGTTAGGATGAAAGCTGGAGAAGCAGGATTATAAACCTTTCCAGACTTTCAACTATCTATGATGGAAAGTGATGTTGTTTCCAAAAAAGTAGTTTCCTGCATTCATTGATATATTTCTTTAATTGCAAGAATGCTTGTTTCTTGTTTCATCTAGCCACTCTATTGAGTCTGTAAAATGTGACCTACTTACTGCAAAGAATTTTGATGTGTAAATCAAACATTATTTATTAATAAGATGATAGAAGCAAACAACAGATTTTATCCTCTTGATTATCATTATGTGAAAACTATTGTTCTGAGTATGTATATTCTCTTTTAAGTTGTTTGTTTGCTATCACTAAGGATCACATCCTTTATAAGGCAATAGACAAGAGACACAAAAGCCATATGAAAAATGTTAGAATTATCAATTTGAACCATCAGATCAGAGTAAGAGACTATAGAAGCTTGAAACAAAGGTACATATTTAGACTAAGCATTGATATGGTAGAGGAGAGAACAGACTGTACAAGGGATAACAAACAGATGATCAATGAACAATGAATAGAAATTGGTAAGGCAAATAGCCATGGGCTCAATGGAGGTTGTAGAGCATAGTATTTTTTTTATGGTAATTTTCTGACCCAACCTAAGCACTTGCCATGTTTTAAGTACACAGAGAGGAAAAGATCTTACTGAATTACAGCTTTCTGCTTTGTCTATTAACAGGAAATCACTTTCACCTGAAATGCTGGGACCACACTACAATCACACAGTGGACACCCCTGCCACCTTCTTCCTGGTGGGGATTCCGGGCTTGCCATCCTCACATCTTTGGCTGGCTATCTCACTGAGTCCCATGTACACCACAGCCCTGGTGGGAAACATCCTCATCGTGACTGCAGTCTGGATGGATTCTACTCTGCAAGAGCCCATGTATCACTTGCTGTGCTGTCTGGCTGCTGTGGACATTGTCATGGCCTCCTCCGTGGTGCCCAAGATGGTGAGCATCTTCTGCACGGGAGACAGTTCCATCAGCTTTCATGCTTGTCTCACTCAGATGTATTTTGTGCATGCGGCCACGGCTGTGGAGACAGGGCTGCTGCTGGCCATGGCTTTTGACCGCTATGTAGCCATCTGCAGGCCTCTGCACTACAAGACAATTCTCACCCCTCAAGTGATCCTGGGCATGACTGTGGCCATCATTCTTCGAGCTGTCCTGATCATGACTCCACTGAGTTGGATGGTGAGTCATTTGCCTTTCTGTGGCTCCAATGTGATTCTGCATTCCTACTGTGAGCACATGGCTGTGGTCAAGTTAGCGTGTGCTGACCCGATGCCCAGCAGTCTCTACAGCCTCATTGGTTCCTCCATTATTGTGGGGTGTGATGTGGCTTTCATTGCTGCCTCGTATGTGTTGATTCTCAGGGCAGTATTTGGTCTTTCTTCCAAGAAAGCTCAGTTGAAAGCATTGAGTACCTGTGGTTCTCATGTGGGAGTTATGACTCTCTATTATCTACCTGGGTTGGCATCCCATTATGTATCCTGGCTAGGGCAAGACACAGTACCCTTGCACACTCAAGTGTTGTTAGCTGACCTGTATCTTGTCATCCCACCTACCTTAAATCCTATCATCTATGGCATGAGAACCAAGCAAATCCGGGAGAGAATATGGAGTTTGCTGACATGCTGCCTCTCCAATCATGGTTCCTGAGCACAAAATCTTTCCAGACCTTAAGCTTGTCAGACCATTTCACATACCTAGTGTAATCGTCTACCTGTCTGGGCTGTTCCGTCTGGCATTATAGAAGATTTAATATGAACCTGTACAAATTATCTGCACTTAATTTCTCAAATGCTAACAAAAATGATGGAAAATTTCTATCTGAATCAGAAGTAATTTTAGGCAGAGAATATAGTTGGAGCTTTCCTAGCATCTGACCCGTATTTAAAGCAGATATTTTAGTAGTCCCTCTGTTGAAGAATCCAACTGTTTGGTCCACCTCACCCATGCACATACTCAGCCTATTTATTTAGAATTGCTCTTGTGTTTATATGGAAGAATCTTTTGGCATGTAAGTTCCTGACTTGGATCACATGTGTGCATCGATAGCTTGTGCCAACAAAAATGGAGTCCAGACAGTTATACTTCTTTTTTTTTAAAGGATTTATTTATTTTTATTGAAAAGGAAGAGTTACAGAAGAGGGGAGACAGAAATTCAGTATGCACAGGTTCACTCCCCAAATGGTCTCGATGGTTGGAGCTGAGCAGATCTGAAGCCAGGAGCCTTTTTGTGTGTTCCACACAGGTGTAGGGTTCCAAGGCTTTAGGTCACCTTCATTGCTTTTCCAGGCCATAGGTAGGGAAACTGACTGATGGGCAGTGTCACGGCTAGAACATGGACTGGTGCCTTTATGGGATGTTGCCGCTTGCATTTGGGGATTATCTAATTGAGCCATCACCTAGCCCAGTTGCACTTTTTTTCTCTGAAAAGAAGTAAGCTCGGGACTGACAGTTATGACTGAATTACAACATTTAACTTGGAAAGAGAAATCTGGTGCACAGCAAGAGAAGCCATTCGGCCTGAAGTAATTGAGCAAATCATTCTCTGACTTAAATTTAGCTTAAACACCATGGTACATGCATGATATGGGTTTATGTAGGATATCTATGGTTTTAAGTAATTTTGTTTTGTAAAGCTAGTTGGGGTTATGTGCTAATAACCAGATTTTAAAGAAGTCTTTATAAAGAGATCAGATTTCATGTACCAAATTTTTGTTTTTAAGCGGGAGCTAAGCCAATGTAAATTTAGTTTGGGCATGGTTCTTTCTGCTTTCTCCTGATACTTTGTAATTCAACTCTGACACAGAAGAGAGGGATTACACAGAACTCAAGTTTTTCTTTTTGTGAATACCTTTCATGAGATGTGTTCTGGGATGAAAATGTTAACGGAGAATTATGTAGATAAAGGCATTGAAAGGTCATCTTGTTCAGGTGCCAGATACTTCCATGTCTTTCATTTTTATTTCATCCTTTTAGATAGTTTAAACTGAGTAATCTATGTATGTTGAGATAAAAAGATATAATATATAAGGAATATATATATTTGATTATGGTTCATTTTACATTTCAGTAAAAGGATAATTTTCTAATAGTGAAAATAAAACTCCATAGTGCTGTTTTTTCATAGGGCTTTTGATGTGAGTGTTAGCATTTATTTTCTATTTTTGGAAGTCATGTTTACTTACAGAGAGTTTTGAAGACAAAGGAAAGATAATAAATGGAAAGAACAGAACCCAACATCTGACAATTCATTTGTAGTTCTATAGTTTTACGTGTTATTTTTAAGCAACTGGTCATCCTGTATCTTACCTTTATGGAGTTTTTTTTTTAACCTATTAAGAATGTTTTTGCTATTTAATAGCAGCAGAGTAGAAGTCAGACTCCTGAAATTTGATAATGATGTACTGTGGTCCCAAAGAACTGCAAAAATAAACTCTCACTCTTGCAACTTGCTAACACAAAGTACAATCATAAGTGATTGGATGTATTCCATATGCTTTATTTTCATTTGGCTTTATTTTTCCAAAATTGAAAAATACTTTTAAGCAGACATAAAATTCTGTATATTATTGGATACTATGTAATGTTTTGATACATGCATACAATGAGTAATGTTCAATTCAGCAGAATAATTCCTTCTCTTCAAGTATTCATCATATTTATGGGTAAAGCATCCAAAATCCTTTCCTCTAGCTTTATTTTTTGGAAACACATACAGTGAATTAGGAGCTATAGTCAGCTTACTGTTCAACTTCATACTCTCTTGTAGCTATAATTTGGTACATGTTACTCAGCTCTCCTTATCACTCTCTCTCTCCTACTTTACCCAGTTACTGAGAACAAGTGCTATGCTCTTGGCTCCTATTAGATCAACTTTCTTTCACACAAGTTAAATTATGTGGTGCCTGTTTTTTGTATCTTCCTTATTTCCTTTAACATGGTGATGATGACCTCCAACTCCATTTAGGTTGTCACAAGTGATAGGATTTCATGTTTTAAAATTATTGAATAGTATTCTATAGTGTGTGTGTGTGTGTGTGTGTGTGTGTGTGTGTGTGTGTGTGCGCGCGCGCCATCTTAAGTTGTTCACCAAGTAAAGAACAGATAGAGTTTTTACCAGGTTGTGGCTATTGTGAATAGTGCTCCAATAAAATGGAAGTGCAGGTGTCTCTGTAACAGGCTAATGTCATTTCCGTAGAGTATATATCCAGGAGTGGACTTTCTGGGTCATACGGTAGTTCTATCTATCTTTTGGGTAACCTCTACATGATTATCCCCTAGTGGTTATGCTAATTTGTATTCCAGGACCAATACTAAAGGGCTCCCTTTCTCTACATCCTCATCAGTCTTTCTTATTCTTTTTCTTTTTGATAATAACCAATTGGACTTGAGCAAAGGGATTTCTCATTGTGGTTTTGATTTGCATTTCTTCGATGATGCAGCGATGCTGAACATTTTTAAAAGATGTACTTGCTGTCCAAATGTATGTCGTTCTTGGCAAAATATCTCCTAATATATATTACTTGGCTTTAAATCAGATTATGTGTGTGTGTGTGTGTACTACTAAACTGATTATATTTCTTATGTATTTTGGTTACTCGCCATTGTCCAAATGAATAGTTTGCAAATATCTTCTCCTAATCTAAAGATTGTCTCTCCACTCTTTTTCTTTGCTGTGTAGAAACTCTTCAGTTTGATTGAAAAATTCATTTGTCTAATTTTGTTTCTTTTAGTAGTTTAATAATTCCAGGTCTTATATTTAGGTCACCAATCCATTTTGAGTTGATAATTGCACATGTGGAGAGATTGAATTTTCCCAGAACAATTTATTTAGAAGATTATTCTTGCTCTAATGAGTGTTCTTAGTAGTTTGTCAGAGTTCCACTGGATGTGGATGCCTGAGTTTATTTTTTGTTTGTTTGTAGGTGGAAACACATTCATTGGAACATGGCCTGTTTCTAGTGTCCACCCCTTCAGCCCCCAAAAGTGGGGGACAGAGAGATCAAAAAAGCAAGAGCAGACATGTTGAGGCTGTGGGGAGGGCTATAACCTGCTGGTGGGGTGGAGCAGGCTGGGTCTTGGTGGGTTCACAATGAGGAGAAGCGGCACTAATAACTCTTGGGGTGTTAGTCCTCCGGGATGGAGCAGGCAGTAAGGGGCCACAGGGGTTGAAAGCACTTAGAATTGGGGATTGGATGGAGCTTGTGCTGGGATTAGGCAGCCTATGTCTGGGTTTGTTTTTCAGTTCTCTGTTTATGTTCCTTTAGTCTAATACTTGTTTTATGCCAATAGTAATGTTTTAATTGTTGTAACTCTGTTGTGTTTTAAAGTCAAGTGGTTTAATGCTTCCTGCTTTGCTTTTTTTTCCTTCCCCCATTTTATTATTATTCTATGATACATAGGCATTAGGATATTTCTAACCAACTCCCCAAATCCTCCCCCCCCACACACACGGATTTCCCCTTTATTATTACAATAGTACAGTTCTTCAGAAGCAGTCATAAGTCCATCATTGTGGCCATGGACAATAGCAGAGAGTCCAGCATCCTATTGTCAAGATAAATTTAACAGTTTCATTGGGAGTTCATCTTTGATCTGGAAGTAGAAATGCATACTGCATTGTATCCTCACATCTGGACATGATAGTCTCCATTACACAGTTACTTTATATCCCCTTTTGAAAAGCCACAAAACAAAATCAACAACAGGAAGAAAAATAAAAATTTACAATGCCATGAAGTTCAATAACATGTTACTAAATGACTAATGTGTCACTGAAGAAATTAAAATGAAAATCAAAAACCTTCTTGAAGAAAATCATACTACTGAATGATCTATGAATCAGTGAATAATTTAATATGAAAAAACTATTTTGAAGAAATGAAAATAAAAACAAACATAACATATGAGATACAGTTTCTGGTGATCTTTGTCACTGAGATGTGTCTGCTGTAGTGGAAAGATAAATGGATTTTGTTTTTTTATCCAATCTACTAATCTATCATGTTTTATTTATGAGTTTAAGCCATTTATATTCAGGGATAATATGAATCAGTAGTAATTTGATTCTGTCATTTTAGCAATGGTTTGTTCATTGATTTAGTTATTTTTGTTCAAGATTGCTTTGACTATTTAATATTTATGTTCCATATATTAGAAATTCTAATTCTTGAAAAATCTTATTAGCATTTCATAGATAGCTATTGAATCTGAATATTGCTTTGGTTAGAGTAAATATTTTTATTCTAATTTTGAACAAGGCATATTTTTCCTTTTCTTTGAGTTCTTTTTATTCCTTTAGTATTTATAATTTACATTATAGAGCTATTTCACCTGTAGGAATTTGTTGGTAGCATTGGAAATAGGATTACTTTTAAAATTTCTCTTTCTCATAGTTGGGGACAAGGTAATTCTTAATCCTTAACTTTAGTAAATTCCCATACTAGTTATAGGAAGAGTCCCTGAGGTTCGTTCTGCAAGATCAAATCATCTGCACATAACATTTGAATTTCTTTTTCTCAATTTGGATATTATTTATTTCTTCCTCTTGCCTGCTTCAGCTATGAGATCCAGCATGATGTAGCCTCTATGTGGTCCAGAGTGTGTGTGTGTGTGTGTGTGTGTATTTGTGAGTGTGTGCACACAATGTGTAAGTATTTGAAAATTTAAACAGATTCAGAAATTGTGATGTTTTAAAAGTATTCTGTAGTTCCATTAGGTGTTTCCTTGATGCTCCACTATTTTAATAAAAATACCTATGAGGTAAGGAAAATATTTTGTTTTGGGTGAGCTTGCCACAATCCAGCATATCACATGACACAGTGTAGAATGTGGGGTCACTAATAAAGAATCAGTTCTATTTGGTGAGAAGTTAATACCTCTATTGTCAAAAGTTTTTGTCTTGTTTATCAATGTGTTCTTTAAGTTAGCCTTAGGTTCAAGGCATATAATATTCCTTAGTTTGTAATAAACAAAGAGTAATATTACACATGTTCAATTGTGTTCTATTTTCATGGATAATTTAATAGGTAGTTACTGCCAAATGAGTACTACAGAGATGGAAATAATTTTTCTTTCTGAGATAGAGAAAACTTTCTATTGATTGGAAAATACACATGGGCCTGGCATGGTGGCCCAGTGGCTAAATCCTTGCTTTACATGCACCGGGATCCCATGAGAGTGCTGTTTTGTGTCCCAGCTATTCCACGTCTTATCCAGCTCCTGCTTGTGTCTGGGAAAGCAGGAGAAGATGACCCAAAGCCTTGGGACTCTGAAGTTACATGGGATACCTGGAAGAAGCTCCTGCTTTGGATTTGTTGAACTCTGCCTATTGTGGCAACTTGAGTATTGAAACAGTGGATGGAAAATCTTTCTCTCACTCTCTCGCTCTGTAAATCTGCCTTTCCAATAAAAATAAATAAGTTCTAAAAAATGAAAATACTTGTGTGTCTTATACAAGGTTTGTGCTTTTACATTCTATTTTCCACCATCTCCAAGCCCATATTTTCTCCTGCAAATTGTGAACTACGTTGTTTGGTTATTCACCTCCGTGATGCAGTTGTACGTGTACTCCCAGCTGTCATTAAAATAAAACAGGGATAGGATCTGTGGTAGTGGTAATAGGTGTCGGCATCAGGTGTTAGAAGGTTTAGGTTTGAGTCTCTGTTTTCTGCTAATGTGCACTTGAGGGTTGAGGTGCAGCAGGTGATGGCTTAAGTATTGAACCCTGGCACCCACAGAGACACCCAGATTGAGTTCCATGCTGATGGCTTTGGCCTGGGCTACCGATAAGTATTGTGGGCATTTAAGGAGTAAGCCAGTGGGGAGAAGGTCTCACCCGTCTGTTTTCTCACAATCCCACACCCTATATTTTCCACCCATTCTTTTCACTGTTTGTTAACCAATATGCCAAAGCTAGCACAACACTGCATACCTATTTCTAGCGTTTGCCTGTCTTATACTATATAAACCAGCTGGTGGTAACAGCATTGTTGCTGTTGGCCACGTGCTTCCTCTGTGTGGACCTCAGCAGCTGTCCTCCTCATGGAACTTATTTCCCCTTAATTCATTTTAACTGTTAAAAATTTCTTCATGTCAAATATGTGACACAACAACAAAAAAAATAGACATATATAAAAGAAATGTTCCTGGAGTTTGGAACCTTAAGTTTTAAATATCTAAAATATAGCTCAAAATATAAACTAAATGACTATCTAACTTTGAAGAGATTCAACTTAAAATTTCAGTAGGGAAGATAAAAAAATTTCTGGTTGCAAAAACACATCAATGGAATAAAAGACAGTAAACATGCAAGAAAGGCAAATATATTAATATCATTTTTTATACATGTGGAATCCCTGAAGATTAGAAAACAATAGGGATTTGAAGATCTTCAATATTACATGTCTTGAAATTTATATGAGATGGCCAACAAGGAGACAAAACCAAGTGAGTCTGTCAAATATCTAGAGTTCATTTAAATAGATAAGCTCAAGATGTACTCATGTGATCCAGTCAGGGACATTTGCCAGTGACTTACATGCCAAAAGATTCTTTCATATAAACACAAGAGCAATTCTAAATAAATAGGCCGAGTATGTGCATGGGTGAGGTGGACCAAACAGTTGGTTTCTTCAACAGAGGGACTACTAAAATATCTGGTTTAAATATGGGTCAGATGCTAGGAAAACTCCAACTACATTCTCTGCCTAAAATTACTTCTGATTCAGATAGAAATTTTCCATCATTTTTGTTAGCATTTGAGAAATTAAGCGCAGACAATTTGTACAGGTTCATATTAAATCTTCTATAATGCCAGACGGAACAGCCCAGACATGTAGACGATTACACTAGGTATGTGAAATGGTTTGACAAGCTTAAGGCCTGGAAAGATTTTGTGCTCAGGAACCATGATTGGAGAGGCAGCATGTCAGCAAACTCCATATTCTCTCCCGGATTTGCTTGGTTCTCATGCCATAGATGATAGGATTTAAGGTAGGTGGGATGACAAGATACAGGTCAGCTAACAACACTTGAGTGTGCAAGGGTACTGTACCTTGCCCCAGCCAGACTACATAGAGGGATACCATGCCAGGTAAATAATAGAGACTCATAACTCCCACATGAGAACCACAGGTACTCAATGCTTTCAACTGAGCTTTCTTGGAAGAAAGACCAAATACTGCCCTGAGAATCAACACATACGAGGCAGCAATGAAAGCCACATCACAACCCACAATAATGGTGGAAACAATAAGGCTGTAGAGACTGCTGGGCATCGGGTCAGCACACGCTAACTTGATCACAGCCATGTGCTCACAGTAGGAATGCAGAATCACATTGGAGCCACAGAAAGGCAAATGACTCACCATCCAACTCAGTGGAGACATGAACAGGATAGCTCGAAGAATGATGGCCACAGTCATGCCCAGGATCACTTGAGGGGTGAGAATTGTCTTGTAGTGCAGAGGCCTGCAGATGGCTACATAGCGGTCAAAAGCCATGGCCAGCAGCAGCCCTGTCTCCACAGCCGTGGCCGCATGCACAAAGTACATCTGAGTGAGACAAGCATGAAAGCTGATGGAGCTGTCTCCCGAGCAGAAGATGCTCACCATCTTGGGCACCACAGAGGAGGCCATGACAATGTCCACAGCAGCCAGACAGCACAGCAAGTGATACATGGGCTCTTGCAGAGTGGAATCCATCCAGACTGCAGTCACGATGAGGGTGTTTCCCACCAGGGCTGTGGTGTACATGGGACTCAGTGAGATAGCCAGCCAAAGATGTGAGGATGGCAAGCCCGGAATTCCCACCAGGAAGAAGGTGGCAGGGGTGTCCACTGTGTGATTGTAGGGTGGTCCCAGCATTTCAGGTGAGAATGATTTCCTGTTAATGCATAAAGTAATGTCAGGAAGGATGCAATCCTGTAATATCTGTTCCTATTTTTTTCAATTGAGAAAGCTTAAGGAATTTCTACATCTCCTAAAGGTCTCTAAATCAGGTAATGTTTTCCTCTTCCAATTCCCAGAATCCCATTATCAGCTGTGCAATCAATTTTTTTTTTTTCGCAGTTACGATGTCTTTTAGGGCATTAGCTCTCCTCTCTGTCTAGCTCCCCTCTACCCATGCCTAGCCTAAGGCATTTCTTTTGTTCTTTGTTCTGCAGTATCTTCCCTGCTGACTGCTGAGACACCTAAATTTATGATGTAAGCCTTCCCCCTGTGATTCTGTTCTATGCACTCAGTTCTGTATGTCTCATCCGTGGTTTATATT